TTACGAAAATAAGATTGAAAGGTAGTGCTAGAAAGGAAGCTTTAGGTAAACATACTGTAGTCTTTCAAAATATGTGTTGAATTCAGTAAAACAAAGCGAGTGACTTATCTGACAGTGGTTATAAGCCAATTATGAGTCAATATATTAAGTGATTCACCCACCTTTAAATACTGGATTCATTTTTAGAATAATATTTTTTAGACTCATACAGCTGTTCAAGTTGTAAGGCCTCCTTCTAGACTGGGAATAAAGGGAATGTGATTTCTAGCCTAGCTCTGGTGAACCACCTACATGACACTCTCTCTTCCTGTTTGTACATCAGTAAAGAGAGAGTGTTCCCAGTGACCTCAGTGTTTCTCTTTATCCTCCTTACTTCATCATAGTATGTTTGTAGATTACTTGGCACATAATAGGGCCTCTAATACTATATGACTCCATGCCATTTAATGAAAAAAGTTTCCTTTTTGCTGTAACATATGAAGAGGCTTCCTAAGAAAACCCAATATAATGGAGCATCATAATATGAAAAAGTCATAAAATGCTCTTGACAAGAGTGAGAATGTTTGTTTTAATACTTCTAAAAAAAATATTTAAAAACAACAAAAACAAAGCTTTGAGGCATAGTGATTCTTTTCTGTGGACAAAGAATATGGTATTCATAGACCTCAGAAAAGAAATGTTGGCAATGCTTGCAGCAGCCTAGATCTGCTTATAAAACTTCATTAAGGTAATTGGGAGAAATGTTGAGACAAGATTTTGGTTTGGGTTTTATTTTTTCCGTTCAGCACTGAGAAATGTTGCCTAAGTCAGAAACGGACAATTTCCCCTTTGCTAGGATGAGGCTTTGCACAGTGAGGGATAAGACTGATAGTAGAAAATGGTGGCAACCAGAATAGGACCTAATATGCAAAAACTGCTGCTTTTTGATGTACAATTTTGGAGAGATTTGTAGCGATTCTAAATTGTTTTTCTTAATTTGAGAATAAATACAATAAACCACAAAGAAAACTAATATTAAATACTGAATTGACATGTGCATTATGCTACCAGACAAGAGGGACTACCTTTTAACATGAAGAACACAAAATTGTTCAGCACTGTGAAACATCAAAATAGAAGAGCAGTAAGATGTACATTGAACAGAACATCTAAGCCCCACCATCGTACTTATGCAAACAAATATCTGACTATGAGTGTATTCTACCCTATTACCTGCATTTGCCACAGGTTTACTGTTGAAATAATTAGGACCACTGGAGGATAATCTTCTGAAATTATGTTTAATGTTTATTTAGGATTTATCAGGACACAAGACTATGAATCATTTTAAATGAGCATTTGATCTGCTTAAGCTACTCATTACTATTCTGAAATAATAATTCTTTGCCTGTGCAAAATTATCTAGTAAGTAACTAAGTGAGTATGAAGAATCCAAATCTAGTACTTTACAGAATAAGTAGGTGTGATGTCATAAGTAGGTGGGAGAAGAAAAGATCTTGTCCCAGTTATGTTACTGATTTGCTGTGTCATCTTGGACAAGTTGCTTAACTTCTTAGAGCATCAGTTTTCCTGTCTATAAAATAGAAATAGTACTGATGGAGGATGGTTAGCATATACCTTTGGGAACAAACACCTCTCCAGTGACTGCCTCACAAATCAAAGGCGAAAATCGAGATAATTATGTGAAAAATCTAGATTCAGATTTGAGGAGGAGAAATTTTTCAAATCTTAAGGGGAAATAGGTAAAGATACTAAAGTAAATGGAGTTCCTGGTTGGTGCAAACAGTTAACACACTCTGCTGCTAAGAGAAAGGTCAGAGGTTTGAGTCCACCCAGAGGCAACTCGGAAGAAAGGCCTGGCAATTTACTTCCAAAAATCAGCCATTGAAAATATTATAAAGCACATTTCTACTCTGATACAAATGGAGTCTCCAGGAATCAGAGCAGCTGTTTTTATATATACAATTGTTCCTCAGTATCCGTAGAGGATTGGTTCCAGGACCCCCTTCAGATACCGAAATCCTTGGATGCTAAAGTCCCTTGTATAAAACGGCTTAGTATTTGCATATGACCTACGCACATCCTCCTGTATACTTTAAGTCATCTCTAGATTACTTATAATACCTAATACAATGTAAATGCTGTGGAAATAGTTGTTATACTGTATTGTTTAGGGAATAATGGCAAGAAAAAAAAAGTTTGTCTTTTTTTTTCCTAAATATTTTCTATCTGTGATTGGTTGAATCCACTTATGCGGATGTGGAACCCCCAGATACGGAGGGATGTGTATGAATACACACACACACACACACACACACACACATAAATGCATACACACACACTACCACTCAAACACCAAACTTTTCAGAGTTTAGCAAAATATGCCTCCTCTAAGTGTAGTTCTCATTAAAGACAAGAGAGTTTCACATGATGGAGCAAACTTCCAGCGACCTTAGTTACTCACAGAAGACAGTTGTGTTCACGAGACTCCACTTGCCTTGGGAAGTGGAGTGAACCTAGGTATTTTGTAAAAGTGTTCTCTGCGTCATCCTCAGCTATTGACTGTGGTAAGAACATTGGACCTAAATCTACATCCACTATAGGACGGGTGTGGAAGAAGAGGTGGGTAGAAATTTAACTCATGTATTATTAACATTCAGTGTGACTCTGTTTCATGTTGGAGTCACTTCTCATCGTACTATGGATTCATTAAAGAACCTGCAAGCAGCATATGTGCCTACATGATCAGTATACTCCAGGCTGCAAAGTATTTCTGTCACTTTTTACCAGAGTTAATGAATTATTCAAAAACTGTTCTAACTAGGGGTCCTTTCTGGTTGAAATGGTCTGTTCACTGACACAGTCAAATGGACTTAGACATTCTACCAGAGGCATTCATACCAAGATGTTTAGAAGCAACTCTTAAATGTAAATTTGTAAGGCTAGAGGTGCCAAAATTTCAACAGGAGGCAAACCCACTCTCTGAAACGGTGGGAGAAAGGGCAAAGTGCCATTTTGACACTGGCCTTTGCAATTTTTGTCCCAGTAGTCAAAGTTTGAGAAGCAGACAGTAGAAGCATACACAGGAACTTGTGGACTTGTGGGAATGAGTCTGCACAGTAAACTTTAAAAAAGCCCTGATGGATTTTATTTTAAAGGGAGACACTATGGTATGATGGGAAAAAACACTACCTAGAAGTTAGGAAATCTTGGTCCTAGTCTAAGCAAATCACATAAAAGATCTGGGCATCGGTGCCCTGATCTGTAAAAATGAGAACATAGTACCATTGGCAAGACCAGGGTGAGGCAAGGCAGTTACCAACTAAGCCCTGACTGCTTTTATCTGCTTTATATTTTGGGGTCCCTCTTAAGATTTTGTTTGATGAGTAAAATCTGATACTAAAATAAATTTGAAGGCTTCAGTGGCACATTGCTTTAAGTACTTGGCTGCTAACCAAAAGGTTGGCAGTTCAAATCCACCAGCAGCTCATTGGAAACCCTATGCGGCAGTTCTACTCTGTCCTATAGAGTTGCTATGAGTTGGAATTAACTCCACGGCAATGTGTTTGGTTTCTTTGGTTTAGCTGGAAGATATTTCTTAAGGTCCCTTCTATTCTAAAAGTCTAATACTTTCAGTGAGAATAACAAATAGAGTTACTTAATTTAATTCTTGCAAGTCTAATAACCAGTTGCCTTCGAGTAGACTCCAACTCATGGGACTCCGTGTGTCAGAGTAGACTGTATGCCATAGAATTTTTAATGACTGATTAACTAGTTTTAATTATTGTTTTTCAGTACATTTTTATTACTTTACACAACATTTGATTTTGAAAACTGCTTCATGTCAACTCTATGATCAGAGTTTCTTAGCTTGAGTCTGGAGTCTGTGAAACCCCTAACAGCACACGTAAAATTTTGTGGATGGGGCATATAAAAAGAAGGTCAAAATCTTTCATCAGATTCTCAAAGGTTAAATGAAAGCAGCTGGAGCACAAGTTATCCCCCACTCCATGGGAGTCTGAAAAGCTGACTCTAGTTGACACAGAAGGAGAGGAATTCAAATAAATTGTATGGGATCTACAATGAAACTTCCTGAATCCCCTCTCACTACACCCTTTTCCCAACATTCTATTGCCAGTACTTACCTTTTGATACTGGAAGAGGGGAACCTTTGGTGATGGTGAACCATCCCCCCAACCCCAATCCTAAATTTTCTGGTATTTGAAAGAAGCCAAGCTCAAATTCTTTGTGTCTCTTTGCCAAACCTCCACAACTCTGATGTGTTTTTATTAGCTAGATATAAAAAACCACATATTCTTCAGTTTTTCAATGTGTAGTCTTGTTAACCTAGAGCGCTAGATGACTTCCAGGCCTGGAGGTAAGTTTCAGAAAGATGTATTCTAAAGTAATTATCTAGGAAGAAGAAAAGTAAAGAAAACATCGACGTTTGGCCATTCAAAGACACCCTGCCTTGAAAGCCTCAGGTGATGACTGGGGAAGACTTCAGTTTTTTCAAGTGCATTTTCAATTCAATATTATATTGAATGTTTGTGTGATTATTAACATTATATCTCAATAGGAGATACTTCCATGGTCTTATAAGTTCTAGTTCAGAGGAGAATAACCCAGTGGGAGGAATGGGGCATTGGTCTGAGGCAGTAAGTGGGACTCACAGCAGTGATGAGGGCTGTGATGGAGCATCACATATCAGAGAGAAGCCTCCAGACACAATGGACAAAGGAATTATCCATAGGCTTTGGTTCCCATAACAGGGCAAAGCTGGATCCTGGGAATGTGTACCCGTGATCCATTTGCATAGGAAAAACAAGGCTTCTTTCATGAACGACTTGCTAACTCAGACACTGTGCATAAAGAAGAAAAACAATGGGGCATGAAAAACAAGACAAACGAAAACCACTAATTGTACCAGAACTGGAAGTTGATTCGAGTTATTGTAAGAATGTTTAGAATCTAACACTTCTGCTCTTCTTTCATTTTAGATGCTGCACAACAAACATGTTATGGTCCGTGTTGGAGGAGGATGGGAAACTTTTGCAGGGTATTTGTTGAAACACGACCCATGCCGAATGCTGCAGATATCCCGTGTGGATGGCAAAACGTCCCCCATCCAAAGCAAATCTCCAACCCTTAAGGACATGAATCCAGATAATTACCTGGTGGTTTCTGCCAATTGTAAGGCTAAGAAAGAGATTAAATGAAACTAGTTGGTCACTGCAAGGGGACTCTCATAATGGCCTATATCCACTTCTCCAGTAGTCAGTTTAGTTCCTATGCTCTGAAAATTACTTTGTAAAAAGGCATAACATGAAACATGTCATCATTCTGAAAGATGTTCAAAGCGTAGCACTATTTATTTTTAATGCTTCTGTAGAAAATGACCTAGTCAAAGAAATTCTAAACTCAGATTTAAATTAGACAAATTGTAGGCAAATTATTTCTTCTCAATATGTGAACACAATGTATAGAATATAAACAATATTAGGAACACAATTCTAGCTAAAGATAAAAACTGTTATTAGAAGGAAAAATTTAGGATATATAGATAAGTCAACAGAAAGTGCCTACTTTATGTCTACAGAGCAAAAGCACCCCAGACATTTTTATAATTGCAGGATTTTAAGCAAATTTTTAAAAAGTGACAATTACTGCAATAATGTCTTACTAAAAATACCCAACACTATAAATAAGTACAGAGTATTCACAACAGTAATCCTTACTGGAAAGGCCACTTCTGAAAAGTTTACATTCACTTAGAAGATTGCCTTAAAGTTTATCTTTTATCTATGACCAAATATCTAGGGTACTTTTGGAAATTTTCAGTACACCCCCTTAGAGAATCACTTGTGAATTGTTTTACACATTCCTAAGCACTTGGCTGTGTTTAGACTGAGTTAGTGTAATTCACACATATAAACTGACATACATTTATATTTTGACAAAATAAATTGTACAGTCAAATTTTCATTGACTTCATGTTATTTTAAAGCATTTTCTTAATAAAATATATCTTTAGTTAATCCTACTTTGCTATGCTATCTAGTAAAGTAAGTTCACTGTAGCTAATGATGTTACAGACTTATGTATACCCTTGTATACCTAGGACAGGGCTGTTTTGTGCCAATAAACAGCAGAATATTGTCCTCACTGATTTAAGAATTAAAAAGATAAATTTTAAAATTTTTATCTGTCTCTGTATCAGTGACTTAATTGATATCAAGCTGGTATCAATCAACATTATTTTTTCTGAAATAAAGTTAATCTTCAAATGGCAACTGTCTTAGTTATCTAGTGCTGCTATTACAGAAATACCACAAGTGAATGGCTTTAACAACAGAAGTTTATTCTCACAGTCTAGTAGGCTAGAAGTCCAAATTCGGGTGTCAACTACAGAAGAAGCCTATCTCTCTCTGTCGGCTCTGGAGGAAGGTCCTTGTCATCAATCTTCCCCAGTGTAGGAGCTTCTCAGCGCAGGGAACCCGGGGCCAAAGGATGTGCTCTGCTCCTGGCACTACTTTCTTGGTGGTATGAGGTGCCCCTGTCTCTCTGCTCGAGTCTCTCTTCATATCTCAAAAGAGACTGACCCAAGATACAACCTAATCTTGTAGATTGAGTCCTGCCTCATTAACACAACTGCCTCTAATTCTGCCTCATTAACATCACAGAGGTAGGATTTACAACACATAGGAAAATCACATTAGATGACAAAATGGTGGACAAGTTGACATACATTTTCGGGGGACACAATTTGGGGGGACACAATTCAATCCATAACAGCAATTTTCCCTGACAGTGCTGGGAAGAATCAAATTTATGGTTACCTAGAATCTCTTCACTTTGGGCAAGTGGGTGGTGGTGGTGTTCGTTTTTCTTAGCAGAGGTTCTAGATTTTATCATAAATAGTACCTAAAGTGACACAGTGAGTATAAAAAGCACAGGCAGTGTTAGTTTGTCATTCCTCATTTTCAACAACAAAATCTACCTTTCTTGCTCCAGAAATTCAGAGAGAAGGTCTGTTTGTCACATGGCTGATTTAGTCAAAGAATACACAGCCTGTTAATTGGGAAGCTTTTAAGCAACAAGTATATGTAACTACAGAAATGATATAATTGGCAGTGCTGGAAGTGGGGTTAATCATTTTGAAAAAAGAAAAATCAGTAAAACCTAAGGAAAAAAAAATAAAACCAAATTTTTGTAGGAAATAAAATCATCTTGGAACGATGGCTAATTCTAATATCTTTGAAAATATAGACAAGGAGTGATTTGATCTTTATATTACTAATGTTAACACTGAATTTCTCTGTATAGTCATTGACACTAATGTTTCATCAAACTTTTCTCCTGTGCTTAAATTTTTCCCATAAATGTACTTGTGTCTTTAATAATGGTGTTTACTTCATTAATTTAGTTCAAAGACATTAGTCTAAGAAAAACCAAACCCACTGCCGTTGAGTCAATTCTGACTCATAGAGACCCTATAGGACAGAGTACAACTGTCCCATAGGGTTTCCAAGGCTGTAAATCTTTACTGAAGCAGACTGCCACATCTTTCTCTCATGGATCCGCTGATGGGTTTGAACCACCAACCTTTTGGTTAGCAGCCGAACGCTGTTAACCACTGCCACCACCAGGGCTCCTTACGTTAATCTAGCTTAACAAAAATAATGTTAATCTCTTCATCTACTGAATTAGGTTTCTATTGATGCCTTAACAAATTACCACAAACTTGAAGGCTTAAACAACGCAAATTTATTATCTTACAATTCTGTAGGTTAGAAGTCCAACACAGGTCTCACTGGGACAAAATCAAGGTGTCAGCAGGACTGTATTTCTTACTGAAGAGTGTAGGAGAATCTGCTCTCTTGCCTTTTCCAGCTTCAGCTTGTGGCCCTCTTCCTCCGTCTCCAAAGCCAGCAACGTAGCATCTCTCTGGCACTTCTTTCTTCCCATCTATTTTTCTGAGCACAGCTGGGAAAGGTTCTGCTTTTAAGACTCTATATGATTGAATTGGATCCACCTGGGTTGCTATGCGTTGGCATCGACTCGATGGCAGTGGGTTTGGTTTTTTTGGTTTTGGATAATCCAGGATATTTTTCCCTTTTAAAGGAGGTCATTAACTTAGTCACAACTGCAAAGTCCCTTTTACCATGTAAGGTAACATTTTCACAGGTTCCTAGGATTAGGACATGTATATTTTTGTTGAGGAATTATTCTTCCTAACAAGTCTATTAAGGTCTTTTAGGTGTCTCTAATCAAGTGGTCACAGCTGACATTGGGGTCTAGCTGCTAGATGCTTGGCACTGAAAAGCAATATGGAAAAAAAAGACCATCTATATTCAGAAATGACCAAATGTTGATAGCTTTTACTCATTGACTGCTTAGTGAAAACTGGACAGGCAGTAGCCTGGAGTTGGGTAATTTGTTCTTATTCTCAGCTAGACGTAAGATCCAAGGAGGATGATAGAAAGAGGTCCTATTCCAAATGAATAAAGGATTAAGTAGTCAGTTCAGAAACATGGTTGAGAAGAGAGAAGAAACACTCAAAAACAGAAGTCCAAATAAGTAAACAATAAAAGCTCACCAAGGGCAATATTTGACACACTGAGCAGACCAGGATGATTCCGGAGTTGTCAAGGGACCTACTGCAATCATTTTCATTCAGTTTCTTAGGTGTAGGTGGGTGGATATTCTATACAGTCCAATACAGTACAGGTGGTGTCTTAGGCTGGGTTCTCTAGAGAAGCAAAACCAGTAAAGCATATAA